TATCAGATTTATGGTGTTTGATCGTTGGTGTCATTTTCTATTTTCCATATATTACCAAAACTTAAAACATACAGATTTCTCCAAAGACCGAAACACACTATCTAGCTATCATGGGACTGGAAGTAATGAAATTGCCCTCACTCCCTAGAATCCAAATCCAACTAGGAGGATGGCTTATTAGAATTTGGCAATCGAATATAAAACGGTCACTAAACCTGATTAAGAGTTACATGTTTACTATGTTTGATGATTAAACCAATACAGGCCCAGGAACCCACAAACCAGGGGTACAATGGTCAAAAATTGAAAAAAAAAAAAAAAAAAAAAAAAAAGCAAGGCGTCGAGGATGAACAGGGCATTACAGAAGATCGTCACTTGTAAGAGAGGCAATCGATTAAATGGTGTGTTTATTGGCAGAAATCTATATGTGGTTGTTATATTAGGGGTGTGATTACTGTGTGTAACTTCTTGTATGGTTAGAAAAAAGTTATGCAATAAAATCATATTCATGTAAAAAAGAACGAATATTTAATTTACTGTAATTAATGCAATAAATTTTCAATGATAAGAAATCCAATCATACGTACATGGCAATTAATGAATTAAAATTGATGAAGATGAAAAAATCAAGTTATGTGACAAAACATAGACATTAATAGAAGAAATTACCTAAAGAATGAAGATTCTTCACTGCGTGGGAGAGGAACACAATCGATAGTTGTAAGGTTCTTTTTGATAGGCGATAGTGATTAGGGTGAAAGTATGATCTTGATACGTGATTAGGGTGAAAGTACGAACATCAGATACATGAGATATTCTTAAGGGCAATGTAGTAATTTTCTGATATTGGGCTTGTAGTTTTTTGTTGAAAGTTTCTCCGTGTAACGTTTGATTTTTGGAGCGTTTTGTTTAGGCTAAAAGCTAAACGCTTGTCGCCAAACGAGATCTTTTTCAAAACGGAACATTTTGTCAAATGCTAGAAGCTAGAAGTTCTCAAACGTTTCGTGTCAAACGGTTGATTTATTCAAAACTTTAATCAAAATAAAAAAGTTATAACCTTAACCTAGAAAGCAAAATATATATATAAAAAAAAAAAAAAGTTATGACATGAGCCAAAAGATTCCCTAATCTAGAATATAAATCCTAGTCAAACTAAATAAAATGAGTATAGCCATAAGATATATTTTAATTAGGAAATAATGTATCATTAAAGATAAATTCAACTAAATATTACAAAACTAATCAAAAAGGGATTCTTTGACTTATGAGATAATTCGTAGTCAAACTAAATCAAAGATATTCTTTAATTAGGATTAGGATATAAAGTTTCATTAAAGATAAACCTAATTAGATTTTAAAAATTCTTAATTAATGTAGTTGGTTACCAAAGGGAAATATCGAGTGTTTGAAAATATGTTCCTTACCTAAGAGGCCGTGTGTTAGCTGATCAGAAAAAAAAACTAATGTTGTTGGCCCCTTATTTGTTCCCAGAGTTCAACTTAACAAGTGGAAAGAAATGAAATGATCACTTTCCCTTTTAACTTTCCTTCCAACTTGGAAGGATTTTGAAAGAAATGAACAAAATGTTTAATTTCCTTTCAATTCTTTCCAACTCGGAAACACATAATAAAATTTTCTTTTTATTTTCTTTCTCTTATTTTCCCTCCTTTCTTTCTTTTCCTTTCTTTTCTTTTCTTTATTAAAACTCGAGAACTATGACTTTCATTCCCGAGGAAATTTTGTGATTGCTAACTACTATTAATAAACTTCTAATCTTGCATCATCTTTTAATATACAAAACATTTTTTATTGTTACAATTGGTAGATTTTTTACAATATAATGTTATAATAAAAAAAAAATTAAATGTACAATGTTATAATTAAATAGATTTTTCTGTCTTGTTTTGACCATGAAGTCCTACCAGAAGGACTTAGATGGTGTTTGAGATTAAATTTTTTTTTTTTTAGTTTAGGAAGAAACTAATTCAAAAGATTGCTCTTGATTTAAATTTTTTTTAATATATATAATTTTTAATATATCGATGTGTTAGTTTTCTTGATTTAAAAAATGAGAGCCTTTATATTTACTTTTTCTTACCCTATTTGAAGGTGCTAATTCTTCAATCAAAATACTATCCGCAACACATGGACAAAATGGAATAAAATTTGATTCTTGTATTATAATAGCTAGGGTTAAATGCAAGGAATAACAATGTATATTTGTTGATTTGTTCATCATATCATCCTACTTTTGTTTCTCCTTATCACAACATTGTTCTTTGAATCTAATGTCATTTAGATACCAAACAATTTTCACTCCTATGATTGGGTATAATTCCTTACACAATATAATGTCCTAATAAGAAACAAAATCAAAAGTGCAATACTAAAATTGGGTTAATATTACAACACTATAATTGGATGCTATAGTAGATAAATAAATGAAATTGCATTGCTATTTATTGCATTTAGCTTGGATCCAAGTTGGTACCAATAGTAAGATCTGGATATATACTAATTTATTTTATCCAAAACCGACTTCTTTTATTTCCAAAGAACGGTAGCAATAAGCTGCCTGGGTTAACTATATGTTTTTTAATTGGACCTCCTAAAACATGTTATCTACAACAAAGTCAATGATAGATCTGACCTTTCATGGCGATTTCATACTGTGCTTTCTTAGCCATAAGTCTGTCATACTCCACTTTCTTGACTGCTGCCCTCTCATAATAAGGAGCTTTCTCCTACATACAAGATATAGATATAACTGCTATACATAATACATGTTTGAAAATAAAGTGGATGGAAGTTTTATGGTGATTATATAGTTCAATTTCGTGAAGAGATCTTACAGAGTCGGACATGCTCACCCACTTAATTCCACCTTCCCTTCCAATCTGTGTAACAAAATATGTTTAGTTTTACAATTTCGTTTCAAAATACATTAATAATTGAATACAATCAGATCCAACGTATATGTAGGTCATACCTTTAAGTCTAATTCCAGTGATTTGTTGTCAGGAAACGCTCCTTGTATTCCTTCTTGAATTCCCACCTGTGATATCATAAGCACAAACTGTAAGTCATACTAAAACATTAAAGTTGATACGATCTGATTCGCCTATAAGTAAATAATGAGATAGGAAGCATGAAATTGAACAGTCGGTTTTACAGGAAGAGGATGTAAGCAGAAGGAAGCATCATTGGAGCACCGAGATCCTTATTTTATGCTTTGTCCTTCTCTGCTACACCCTGGTTGCCTTCGTCTTCTTCGTTTCCCTTCAACAACGCAAACAACAGATAGGAATTTCAAAAATCATCGAACACCACAAGCAACCGGATACGAACATCGTGAACGTTATTGAAGAATGTAAGCAATCGGCCAATCCACAATTAGTTTTACACAGAAATTGCATATTCGCGTGGAGAAATATCATGAAACTCGAAGGGTATTACTTCAAACAACAGAGAATAAAGTATTGTTACGTTGATGAATTAGTTACAACGATCAGTAAAAACATGGAGATTATAAAAACATAGAAGAGAAGTGGAAAAATTACTCAGGATTGAGCTCCATCTTGCAATGGTAGCAGTAGGCTTTGGTCCTCTCTTGTTCCTTCAAGCTATGAAATTTAGGGTTTACGAATTGGACGAACGACCGAGTAGCATGAGTAGCGGGAAATTGTTAACGGGAACATATAAAAAAAAATACATATAAATCTTAATAACTAATTAATGTTTCACAAAAAATTATTATTTACAAAGATAGATATAAAACTAATATATAAATTGTTATGAATATTCGATCTACGTGCTGTCAACAATTACTTCTACTTTCAAATGATTATATAATCATTTTTTAGTTATTGAGAGAAAGATAAAAATGAAACCATTTCTATCTTTCTTCATACAAATTTAATTTCTCAAATAGAAATTTTTCAGCCTAAAATTTTTAAAACATAACATGCAAGTTGAGATTGAAACTTTACTAAAATGCTTCTAATCATGTTTTGTATTTTTAGACTAAAACATTTCCAAATAACTAAAAATGCGTTAATCATCTTTTTATAAGTTTAGATTGAAACATTGCCAAATTATTCATATTTGGTAAGTTTAAACTGAAACTTTGCCAAATTACTAAAATGCCCATGATCAACAGGCCCTTAATCATCTTTTTATAAATTTAGACTGAAACCCTGCCAAACTCTTCATACTTAGTTAGTTTAGACTGAAACTTTTCCAAATTACTAAAATGCCTAACACCATGTTTTATATTTTTAGACTAAAACATTTGTCAAACTATTCATACTTAGTTCTTTCCATTTGTTTCACCAATGATGGGTTGTATGTCTTGATTGTTGCATGCCCTACAGCTAAAACCTGATCCTACAAAAAAACAATGAAATCCAATAAAAAATAATTAATAACTTCAATTTAGATCTTAGAAACTTACGGGTATTAACATTAGATTGTAATCGGGACAAGAGTGGAAAGATCGTTGAGTGTTGGATTTATTTTTCTTTTTTCTCTGTTTGTAATCTTTTTGCCATATAATTGTTCAATCAGAAAGTGTAAAAGTGTCCCTTACATCTATAAATAGTAACCGAGTGCCCATCTATATATCCTAAATGTTGAAAATAATTATTAACAAATTTTATTTGAAAAATAATTGCATATGCGGACACTTACATTACACACAACATCCAATTTCATGGTGGATTCCCTTATAAAGCATTAATACAAAATCTTTGTTTCAGCTCCACCTCCCCTCTCTTTGAGCTTTATAGGATTGCAAAAACCATATTATATTTATGAAAAATAGATACATGTTGTTAGTTGTATAAAATATTACTAATATTCCCACTAACAAGGTTAGATAAGCTTTCTAAGGTATTTTCCAACTGACATCAGTCTAGGTCTCAGTTCCAGTCTAATCACAGTACAAGGCCATCTTGTTTTGTCATGTGATGCATACATTCTTAATTGTAGATATATGTTGACTATTTCTCCTTTTCATCAATCATGTCAACCGGATTTTGTTGAGCTTCCAATAAGGCAGACGACTTTATTGTCCCTTTATTACTTGGAATAGATGGTGTTGACTCAGACGAACTCTCTCCGAAAAGTTCATTAATTCGCTATCCACAAAAACAAAAACAAAAAATAAATTTTTAATAATCCACTTATTTTCAAAGTACAATGATATTAAAGAATGTGGTTGGTAAATTAGCTTAGCCAGATTTATCATAAGCAGCCCAATACTTTTCAAGACAACACAATAATAATGACCGACTACATAGTACAAACATGAAAACATATATAAATTAGAATATGCAAATAAATATATTAAAATTTTAAAAATTAATGATGTACCTTTGAAACAGTTTTGCATCCACTGGTTATTGGGAAGAACCAATACAATGAGCATATCCAGAGACATCATAGCGAACAGTATAAATAATATATTTTTTCCCTTGGATAACTTGTTGTTTTGATCTTCTTCCATCATGATGGAATTTTAATCTAAGTGGTGAATAAAAATCAAGCCATCCAATTTCCTCTATAACCACCTGTAAATTGTAATTGTAATTATAATATAAATAAATAAATCAACATCATTTAATATCATAAATCACCTGACCTTAATGAAGAGCTTGTACTCAAGTAGGGAGCTAAATTCAAGATAAATATACAGGCTACCACACTCCAAGTAACTGCAATTTGTGAAAACCTTTCAGACTTTATTTAATTATTTAAAAATATATATTTAACCAATTGCCCAAATGACCTGAGGAAATCCTTGGTATGATTATTAAGATCCTTTATGTTCATTTCTGAAAAGAATAATCATGTTTCTTTTCCCATAAATTCAAAAATCCCATGTGTAGCCAAAGTAGTCTCCTGACTCGATCTGTACATAAGAATACCCATATTGTTTGTATAGTTTAGAACATACCTTTTCACTTAACTTCAGTTTGCCTGTAACTACATTTTCTCAATGAAATGCTACCAAAATTTTTTTCTAAACCAACCCAGTCCAAAATTCCACATCTTCATTTTTCTTATTTGGCAAAAAAAATTTACCAAAATGAAACAAAAAAACATCTTCAAATCCAGCTTCAAGTACCAAATGATGCAATTTATCCATTGTTACAAGGCTACATTATAAGTCCAAAAGCTCCATTAAACATCATTAATCGACACTGTGAATAAACCACAAGCAATACGGCTTGACCCTAACTTTGTAACTACAGTGCAACAACTTATAGCCATTACCACTCCTGCAACACCACTGAAGCAAAAAATTGATGAAGTTTCATCAAAGTCAAGGGTAAAATCGTAAACGATGATGCACACCTTCCAGAAAAGATGCTACCATCTGGATAGTAACTACAGAAGCAGAATGCTCCAAAAAAAACTGTAAACATCCTTAATTTCTAAAAAAAAGACCGATATACCCTTCAGGCCTTAAAAAACATAACCTGCTTCTGTTTTTAGAATTCTATGGAAACCACATGAATATGAAATCTTCTCAACTCAAAGAATTGCTATTTGTTAAATTATTTCCGGCCATATACCAAAAATAACCTTTATTTTGATTAATTTTTTTAACTCTACGTAACCATTTATTCAACCAACTCTTTCCTTTAAGATAAACCAAAAAATCATTGAAATAATCATCACCATTACCTAAAAATGAGCTTCAATTTACAAAAAAATGAAAATTTTTCATATCATCTTAAATATAATCCAAAAATAATAATTTTTTAAAAAGTATGATGCTATTAAAAAACTTTTTTTTGCAAAGTTCAATACTAAAAACATTGTTTTCCCAAAAAAACTATCATATTAATTGCCAACTAATGAATATTTAAAATTATATATTACATAAATGGTCTATTTGTGAAAAAATTTACATAAATGGTCCATATTTAAAAAAAGAATACATAAATGGTCTATATGTGACAATGTACCTTCCACTAACGAAATTTAAAAAAAAAAAAAACAGTCGTATAAATGAGCAATAATGTACAAAAAAATGAAACTTTTCTAGATCAACTAATAAGAATCCGCAAAGTAATTTTTTTGAAAGTACGATGATATTAATGATTTTTTTTTTTTTTGCAAAGTTCAATGCTATTAATGAAACTTGTTTCCAGAAAACAGTCCTACAAATGAGCTTCAATATACCAAAAAAAAAAACTTTTCCATATCATCTAAAAATAATCCAAAAAAGTAATTTTTTTAAAAGTACAATTCTATTTATGAAATTTTTTTGTACATAAAAGAAGCTATCTTTGGGAATGTGCAAAATGACCATAATACCCTTGATTCAACAACTAACTTCATGAAAAAAAATACCAAACAAAGATTATTTGATTATAAAATAGAACTTCCAAAATTTCTCTGTGAATCAAAATTCAATGTGACTCACCACTGTACAGAAGGTACAACATCCTACCTTCCTTGCAGAAGCACGCCATGATTGTAATTCAATCCAAGGTCGTTTATGAATATTATCAACCATATTATTAGGTGAAGGTCACTTAACCGTAAAATCTGATACATATAATGTGTTACTTGCATGTTAAGCATTATATATTGGACACCTGTCACATATTACAAATACATAATACATAATATGTACATATTTAAAGAAAATATACTCTTGCATCTATTAGAAAGGACACTGATTGTACATAATTCCATTTTTTAGGATTAAATTATAATTCTTACATCCATGATCTATTATAATTTGGTATGGTTTGTAAACTATGAAAACTTAGTTAACAATAATGTTTTCTAAGCTACACTTTGAGTGATTAGCATTAGGGGTATGATATGGAATTACAAAACATCATTACCACACCAGACAATTACATTAAAGAATCAAGACGAAAAATCAATTAAAAAAAAGGAAAGAAGATAAATCCACCGCCATTCCTAGCCACCTTCTTGAAATTGGTTACAAAATAAATGATGGAAAAGTGAAAAATAACCTTGATTTGGGTTTCTTTTATATATAACAAATACATTTTGTCTATTGTTTTTCAACCCCCATAAGTAACATATCACATTTTTCTACTTCAATTGTTAAGTATTCATCTTCATGTACTGGTTCTTTTTCTATTTTGGTTTAGTCTATGTCATCTTCACTTTCCTAATGGTCTAATCATTTTACTAATTAACACATAAAACATAATCATCAACGAATAATAAAGAGGAGAATAAAGCGCAACAGTAGCCTGACGGTGGTGTTTTCTGCTCAGGACCACAACCGGCCACCACTACATAAAATTAAAATAAATAATAATAATTCAATTTCCACGAAACATGCTCGTTACCTAAGAAAAGTAAGGTTAATATAAAATTAGCATGTATTTTAATTGCTTACATGCGATGACAATCACTTCCATGCTTGTCCTACCCAATTGCTACAACCACAAAGGATATGGCATAATAAAAAATTCCTACAAATATGGGACAACTCAGTCAATAATAATGTTCATAGAACAAAATGAAAGGTAGAATAGAGTTCATAGAATGAGAAACTTTTTTCATCTTATAGGTAGCAAGGCATCCAGGATAATCAAATTCATTTGATACTAATCTCTCCATTCTTTAATGACGAAACTATAATATATTTTAAACTTACCTTCTTCATGACTACAAAAGTCGAGATCACATAACCCTTAATCAATCCACCCACCACAAATGCTTTAAAGAAATTTTGGATTTCCCATCAATATGCTCCATGTGCTTCTCATAATGTAACAATCTTGACATCCCTCCTGCAACATCAAGTTGCAAAAGAAATTAACTTTCAATAAATAATTAATTAAAGAACATAAATATATGAAAAATAAGTTAATTATACCAATTTTTATGACCTCTCAATCTTCATGGCTTTCCTCGCTGAAAATCATCCCCGGAAAAGAACAAAATAAAAATCATGAAAAGAACAAAATCAAACAACAAAATGATTCATACTCACAAATAAAAGATGGAAAAGAATAAAAGCAACCTAACTCGGATTCAAAAATCATAAAACACGAATGCTTGTCTGAAACCAAATCAAAGAATCAAGCTAATTGGTAGTCTTTTTGTCTTGATAATCTAGTGCACCTCATACATTTTCTCCCCCTTTCGGGATGCTGTCTTTGGCCATATTTTATTCACACCGGCTCCTTTAAGTGAACTGTCAATAGAATAACTCTTGATTATCAAAATAGAGGCCTATAAGTAAGTGGACCAGCAAAAAGTTCTGTGGTCGCAACCATGAATCCATCCACATCCAACCCCTGTTATAATGCAAGTGTAAATATAATAAAAGCCTTAAGAAAAAAAACACTACATATGTAAATGTTGAGATTTGAATAAGAAAACACAAGAAAGGTAAAAAGGCTTACGGATATGAATTTTCGTTACTTTCCACTTTCCACTTTCCAAACTCCAATCGATATATTCGTTCTTCCGATCACCAAACACATCCATATAATTTTTCGTTCCTTTCTAAGCTCCGATCACTGCAAACATGAAAACATGGAAGTGGTTTTTATCCAAATATGCTTCTTCTTCAAAGTTCGTCCTCTGGTTTTGTAAAAGCTTACGTAAAAAATTGATATCTTAGGGTGTAGAGAAATAATCAAGATAAAATAACACACAATTAAAAAAAACCTTTAACCCTACGATGGTAGTATTTACCATCAATTCAAAAATGACGACATTGCCAGCTAATGAAATTCTATTGAACCTTCAATACCATTGAAGTCTTCTATACACCTGCCGAAGGAATGAAAACCTTCAACTTCTTCTCCATTAATCTGAAAAAAAATAGAAAATCAATTGCATATTGAAAAAAGAACATTTGAGTAACTTAAGTAATCATGGTTTGGTTTAGGGTTACGTTTAGGAAGAACGAAAGAAAGAAAACGAACCTGGATGGGAGAGATTTAGAATTGTAGGTGGTGGAAAAATGCAGGTAGATGATGTAATGAAGTCAAGAGAACAAGGGATATCGGCCGATTACTCCTCTGATACGTAGTGGAATCAAGGGAGGGAAGAAACTCACTAGAAATCAAATAGTTCAAAATGAGTCGATACATAAAAATGATAATATGAACAATATATCATTTAAACGTGATGACTAAGGAAGGCAACGGTGGCATATTAAATGACAAAGTTTGACTAATACCTTGGTCAAGAATGATGTGTGGAAAAAATCCAATGGTGGAAAATATAGGATTGAAATACAATTAATGGTCCTGATTTCTTCAGTTTAGAATTAAAGGTTCTCTTTTAATAATATTTAGAGATTTATCGTGACCCGCAAGGCTATATTTTCGGTATTTTAATATAGAGAAATTAAATATCCATTTAATAAAATAATAACTAGAGAACGAGTATTAACAATTAATCAAAGAATCGTGAGCATGAAAAAAAAAAATAATCAACGGCTCATAGATTTATACATTTGACGCACATGCACAAGATTATACCAAAAAATTCATCATTTTTTTTATACCAAAATGTATAATTGTTTATCTTCTTTTCATAGATATTCATATTAAACAATTTTTAATTGAAAAAAACATACTTTGTTTTGTTGATTTTTTTCAATACTTAAACCTAGTTCCCGAGTTTTAGTAAAGAATATAAAATAAAGGTAAAGAAAGAACGAGAGAAATGAAGAGAAATGAAAAGAAAATAAGTTTGTATTTTATGTTTCCGAGTTAGAGAGAAGTGAAGAAAATTAAACATTTTGTTATTTCTCTCCAAATCATTCTAAATCGAAAAGGAAAGTTAGGAGGAAAAATGATTTTTCTATTTAC